GAGCTCAGTGGAGCAGAAGCGGAGAGAGGGACAGACCAGCCCAAGCAGCAACTGGAGTAGTTCTGGGAGGCCTTTAAGAGAGTGAAGGTAACTCTGAGGGCTTGCAGCCAGTGAGTTAGCAGGGCTGGGGCTTGGCAGGATTACGTGAGAAGGCAGCCAGCCACATAGTGCTGTAAACAGTTACTCATATCTGCATATCACCTGTGACAGCCAGCAGCAGGTAATGCCTGTTTCACTTCCATGCGAGGGCAGAGCATTTGCACGCACCATGTCCAGCAAACTCTTTAACCCCTTGTGTGTTTCCTAGGCACAGAGCAGCTGGATAAGATGCCATCCCCTCGGTTAGTGAAGACCCATGTCCCGGTTCAGCTCCTCCCCGTCTCCTTTTGGGAAAAGGATTGCAAGGTAACAGGCTCCAGACCTGCAGGACAGAGGTGGCCATGTAGGTTGTCCCCTGCATGTCCATCCACCTTGTCTGGCATCCTGCCCCCAGTGACCACCAGTGACAGGCCCTTCAGAAGGGCATGTTTAACAAGCACAGGGCTGTATGGGGGATGTGGAGTGGCAGACCTACGAAGCACAGAAGGTCAAAGGCCCTTGGCACCTTTTTATTTGAACTGCATTTCTTCCCTTGTCCTTCCTGCAGATGATCTATGTTGCCCGAAATGCCAAGGATGTGGCTGTCTCTTATTACTACTTCTACCAGATGGCAAAGCTGCATCCTGATCCTGGCCCCTGGAATGAGTTCCTGGAGAAATTCATGGCTGGGAATGGTAAATGAAGAGTTTGGGCCAGTAGTGCCAAACCTTTTGGCTCCATGGGCCTGAAGAGTAGCACTGAGGCCAGTCCTCAGGCAGGATCCTGTGCAGGGTCAGCTGAAGCCACACACTGGTCCAGCTCTGTGTGCCCAAATGCAGCCATACACTATCTCATCTGTGCACGCTGGCACAATCTACCACACAGGGCCATGCTGTCTGACCTGCAGGGCTTCCTATAGGTCCAGAAATTTGGCAGTAGGGTAACAGCAATTAACACTCCTGCAGACCCCCACTGCCAGATTTATGGACCCTTGGGGAGCTTCATAGGCTGGATCTGGCCTCCAGGTTGGAAGCTGAGCATCTCTGTTCTGAGAGATCCCAGCAGTGGGTGTGATGCAGCTTACCCAGAACAGAATTGAGAGAGACTTTTTTCATCCCTGAGACAGAAACCCGCAGGTTTGTCAGTGAAGCTGGGAATGGTACAAAGACTATGGGCAGTCCAAGTTGGTAGGATGGGAATTCCCAAGGGCAAGACAGGTCACTGAAGCACGTAGCATGGCCTGGTGGCTGGGGAGCAGCACTAGGACCTAGCGGGACTGGATTCTACTCCAGTGTCTCTCATTGAGACCTTTGGCAAGTCACTCTGCCTCTCTGTGGTTGTTTCCCTTTCTCTTTTCTCTACCATGGATAAAGCCAAACTCTTGAGGCAAAGACTTTCTGCTGTGACTGCACAGCAGCCAACACAATGCAAGTAGCATGGGGGCCTCCAAGTACCATTGAAAAACAAATAACACCCATAACCAGAGCCCACATTCAGATAGGGCTCTCACAATCAATCCCCATGTCTCCTTAGTTTCTGGTCCAGAACTCAGAATCCCAGCCCACTAGACCATGGGTTGGCCACCGATAGCCCCCAGATTGGATCTGGCTTACAAAACCTTTGAATCTGGCTGGTGGTGTTATGGATGAGGCAGCATTTGGTGGCTGGGGGGGTTCTGCTCACCTTGCACCTTAGTCAGGAAACCAGGGCTTCAGCAGAGGGGATCTCCTCATGCCATGCCACAGCTGGGCTACAAGAAAAAGTGTCAGAGGTGGCCAAGTCTGTGCTCGATTGCCTCAGGCCTGAGCTGGGTCATTCCGTCCACTGCCAGGAAACCCTGCCAACCCCTGCATTGGACTGCTTTCATGGTGTATAAACAGTTAGTTTATAAATCCTTGTTAAGACCAAGCTAAGAATTGCAATGCAGAGCAGCCTATGGAGGACAATGCAGGCAAATGCCTTTCTGTGAAGGAAGAGGGGGAGCAGGGGATCACCTAGATTCCCATATCAGAGGGACCTTTCTGTCCATCCAGACCTCTCCCGCTTACATCCAGCAGCTGAACTAAAGCCCATTTTGCAAAGCTCTCTCACTTTGGTTTGAGGGCTTAAAGCCAGGGCAAGTCCACCACCACCTCATAGGAGGTTCCAGTGTTTAATCAGCCTCTCTGCGAGGAACTTTGTCCCATTCCACTGGATCCTTTTACACCTTTTAGACCCCACACTGCTCTGGATGCAGCCATTAGATCCATGCTGGGAGGGAAGGGTGAGGGGGGACTTTTGGAGCTAGTGCTTTCTCTCTTTCTCTCTCTCTAAATGTCTCTTCCTATGTTGCTTATTTCCCTTGGGATTTAGTTGCTTATGGATCCTGGTATGATCATGTGAAAGGCTGGTGGGAGAAGGCAAAGGACTACCGTATCCTGTTCCTGTACTATGAAGACATGAAAGAGGTGAGGGAGTGTAAAGGACAAACAAATGCTGTGGCACCTCCCACAAACCCCATCTTGACCATCACAGTCTGCCACTTTCCAAAATCCATACAGATCATCCCACCCAAGGATTCACTTCAAGAAGCCATTGTAGCATGGGTTCCTTCCTCCTCCCCTTCCAATATTTCCACCTCACTACTCAGCATGGTGCAGTCATACCCCAAAAGTGCTCCACAGACACATTGGGTATTCTATTACAAAATTTTTTTTTGCAAAAATGTTGGTCTAATAAGAAAAGATACCTCTGCTATAGTCCTGATTGGCACAGGTGCATCACATTAGTTGAAGCAGGCTGGGACACAACAAGCTGCAAGAGACAACTGGGAAGTCTGCAAGGTACATTTGGTAAATGCACTGGCTCAAAAGACAGCAGCCCTCTGTACACTTCACTTCCTTAACCCCTAGGAGCAGAGACTATACCAGAAAAATTAGCAGTATGACTCTACTAGGGTATGTATGCTGGATATGTGGAAACCCCTATCCCAGAGTAGCACACTGGTTATTTTCCTTTTGCAGCAGGCTGTAGGCTCTTCTCACCTTAGGTCAGCAACATGGTTTGGAGTTTTCCTTAGAACCACTAACAGAAACGGTACTTGTTGGCTCCATATATGGAAGCATTGTGCTATTTCTGTCTTTCTGCAGCACCATCTAGTGCTAGAAACGTAGCACAGCACCAGAGTTCCCCAGTAAAAGAGTAGAAAATGGTTC